TTTCATTTTAATTTTTAATGTAGCTATAAGAAAATATTTAAATGATATATGTGATTCACTTTTGTGACTCAACATTATATATATATATTTTAATTTTTTTCTTTATTGATTTTTAGAGAGAGAGGAAGGGAAAGGTAAGGAGAAATAAAAACATCAATGAAAGAGAACATCGGTTGGCCACCTCCTGCATGCCCCCTACTGAGGATAGGGCCCACAACCTGGGCATGTGTTCTGACCAAGAATCGAACCGGCGACCTCTTGATGCATGGGTCAATGCTCAGCCAGTGAGCCACACCGGTCGGCTCAACATTATATTTTTATTAGACAGCATTGGTATAGCTACAAAGTGATCTGTCGATGGCTGCTTCTTGTGCTGGGCTTGGCGGTGCCCAGAAAAAGCTAAGTTGTGAACCAAGGCTGGCTGCTTCTAGTGCCAGGCCTGGGGCCACTTAACAAGAGGCATGGGGCTTTGCTCCCTGAGACCAGATGCTGCTTGTTTGAGAGATTTCTGGAAACTCTGAAGCTGGATCCAAGAGAGGTCAATCCTATGGTAAAGCCATTGGAAACAGCTTGGGTAGGCCTGAAAGTTGGGTCGGCGGAGCCTCAGGGAATCACCAGGGCCTGGCCAACGGTGTGAGTCAGGTTGCTGGAGTCCCAGATATGGTGGCTGCCTGCTGCCCGGGGAAGGGCTCACCAAAGGAACAATGGCCTCCACCATCATGTCTGTCCAGAGAAAGCCACCTGTCCAGCCTTTGTCCCGAGGCCAAACAGCTTAGTTTTTCCCTGTATGTCTCCGGCACCCCTCAAGCAACCTCCCCTCTGAACTTAGAGGGTGCGAGTCTGAGTAAGTCTGTGCATGGGCCCTTTAAGAGGAGCTGCCTGGGGCTCCCGCAACCTCAGCCTCCTTCAGTCTCAGTTCCCGCTGGTTTTTCCAGCCAGAAGTGATGGGGACTTCTCTTCCTGGCACTGGAACCCTGAACTTGGAGGCTGGTGTGGGACAGGGACCCCTCACTCCTCGGGGAGGACCTTCCCAGCCAAGGTGTCCCCCTGATTTTTATCCACCACACGTGGGTGTGGGACCAGCCCGTCCGCCTCCGCCCCTCCTACCAGTCTCGGTGTGGCTCCTTTAATTCCGTAGTTATAGGACTTGCATTCAGATCGATTTCAGGCGGTTCTGAATGATGGTTGTTCTGTGGTTTAGTTGTAATTGTGTTGTGATTGTGGGAGGAGGCGATGCTGCATTTACCTACGCTGCCATGTTGACCAGAGTCTGGCCTGATATGTTGACTGACCGCCTTGAAAATTTCTTATGCCCTGGCACAAACATGTACTCTATTTTTTTATTTTTTATTTATTTTTCTTTATTGATTTAGAGAGAGAGAAAGAGAGAGAGAAACATCGATGAGTGAGAACATTGATTGGCCACCTCCTGCATGCCCCTCACTGGGAATGGAGCCTGCAACCCGGGCATGTGCCCTGACGGGGAATCGAACTGGGACCTCTCAGTCCATGGGATGACACTCAATCCACTGAGCCACACTGGCCAGGCTGGTTTGATTATTTTCTAAGACCAGGGAGACAATGATGTTAAAGTGCACAGTTCCTAAGTTAGTTACTGTCATTGTGGTTGTTAGTAATTAAAGTTCTGAGCTGGCAGGCGATCACATCCGCACACAAGGCCAATGGAGGGCAACATGGCTTTCTTGCATACGCCCGGGTGCAGGCGGGCTGAGCTGAGAAGGGCCCAGCCTCGAGCCTTTTTTGCTCTCTGGCTTATATAGGCACAACCTACAGAAACTACAAAAAAACTACATTCTCCTGGCGCTGCTTTTTGGTGCCAGGGCTGATAGGAACTGCTACAGAGGCGAGGGAGGAACCTGTTGCAGGGGACAAGATGAGCTTGTTACAGAGATCAGGGCAATTAATCTCTTTCTTTTTGATGGTCCCTCCAAGTTTTCCAAGGCCACCATTAACCCCCTATCTTTATGGTTTCTCTGGGTTTCAGTCCCAGGGTTTTTTTTAGAAAACTGCTCGGGTGTTTATGTGCAGGACTAACTGGTCAGTATGAAGTTTAATTTTGTTAAAACTTTACTAACCCTTTTAGTAACAAAATTGTATCTTTGTTCATATAAATAGAGAGAAACAGAAGGAAGTTCCACATTATTTGTATTAGAATTTGCCTGTTTTTTGTGGTTTGGAGAAGGCGAAGGGGAGGCAATGGACAGTGGATTGCCTTTACTTAGTTATATTTTGCTTAGGTCAGAACTAAAATAACATTTTTTCGACACATCTTCTTTATGCTTTTGCTCTGTTCCCTATCAATGATGTCCTTTGTGCTGTCTTCATTTGGAAATGTCCTACTCATCCCTCAAAATCCAGCTCAAGTAATATCTCTGTTAAACCTATGGGGTTGAGTCTTCTGATGTAGAATTGCGTTTATACCTAAATCCCACCACTTAACAAACAAATAGTGCTGGTAATTTACCTGTTTATGTTTCTCTTTTCACTAGACCATCTGCTCTTTAAGGACAGGACTATCTCCTTATCATTTTTGTATATCTCATAGCTGTTACCCTCTCATACTGCCTACTGCACAGTAGATATTGAGTTAATGTTTGTGGAATAAATGAATGAATGGACGAATGAATGAATGAATGAATGAGTTAATCTATTGTCTGAGAAGAGCAGTGATTGGTAAAAGGAGTGGTTGACAATGCTTCTTTTTTCAAATACTGCTTCCCCAAATTACATGCAAATGAAGACAGAGTGCACATATCATTTACATTTGTATAATGACCACAATTAGAATAACAAACAACAAGAAGCTGTTTATGTACCCAACTGGAGTTCCTGAGGCTGCCATATCCGTCATAAAACACTGTGTGGAGATACTTTAATGAGCTCCTAGAGTTGGAATAATGTACCCCAAGCTTTGCAGCCTCCGAGGGGAAACTCCTCATAGGTCCCAAATGTCACCTGTGTATAAAGCCATCCAAGGGCAGTTGGAGTATAAGTGATGGAGATAAAAGTGTAATTCTATAGCCAGGTCAGCCATGGGTATGCTACCAGTTTCTGATACTTGATGTATTTTCTGTGCTGTAAAAGGCTAAACAATCGAACTGGACCAAGAGTGAAAAAATAACACCGAGAAGAAAAAGTTTTTTCCTTTTTAATTTAGAATTTACTGGATTTTTATGTCATCCTAGCATTTTCCCAACTGTAAGATTTGAATAATACCTGAAAAAATGTAGCGTAGTTCACGTCTTCTTTTTTATTTTTCTTGCATTGGTGCAGCTGTAGTTTTCCAGTTGGTTGCATGTGTAGCACCATAATACAGGCAGGTGCACACGGCACAGCCCTGCTGTAGGCCATAATGGTTAATAGCCAGGCTGCAGCCCAGGGACACTGGATCTAAGACTTTTGCATTGTTTCTTTGCATATGCGCTCTGATATCTTCAAACTGCATTTCACGAACAGTGCATTTCTAGAAAAATGGAGAATTTGGGTTGTTGTAAAGGTTCTTATCAATTTTAGACAAATCCTTTTACTACAAAGGAAAACAGATTGAGCTGAAAAAAGTCCCTGTGAAGGAATAAGGGACCTTTTGTTGTAGTAGGGAGGGTGCTGTAGAGAAGGGAGGTGTTGAAATTTTCCCAAGGTTTATTGACGCATAATCTACACATGACCTGGAAGCATTAAAAGAAGAATGTCACTTTAAGACAGTTCAGGAAGAGCCCTGCTTCCTGCCATTGCTCATGGTTACAGGCTGGGACCAGGTGTCAGAATTTAATACCCGAGCTAGTTCATGAAAAGCACTAGCAGGCTGTTGCTTTATTTTAGGTGTTTTAATAATCTGGAAGGTAATTGTCCAGGTCATCTCCCCCTTCCAGGTTAATGAGCTGGCTAGCAGGCCACACCAGAAAATGACGGCTCAATCAAATGATGACAAACAAGGAAACAAAACAAGAAAAAAGAAAAAAAAAAAGAAAGAATGAAAGAAAAGAGAAAGGAGGAAAAAAACCAAATGGAAAAATCTGAAGTTACATAGGTTTTACTGTGTTCTGTCCTGTTGTCGCTCGTGATGGATGGCACAAAAAACCAGAAAAGGCACAACGCGGGCTCCTCTCAGGACACTGATTGTCATCAAAACAGGAAATGGCTTACAAATGTAAGCCATTCTCCTTGCAGTTTAAAGATTATAAATCCCTTATTCATCTGTTATGATCCGGGGCCTACTTGTGAATTTTATAGTTCTTTTTACGCTCAGAATTTTAAAACTGTGATGTAAAGGGGCTACAGCTGTTCATTTTCCGATTTGGATGTTTAATCCCCGCTCGAAGCGTTGCACCCTGGTCTCCCCTCCCTCTGCCCATCTGCAGCCTGAGCCCACTGCCAACGCCTCGCACAGGAGAAACTCACATGGCCTCTTCCCCCCAAGTGATTAAACATAGCACCAGCTACTCCAAGGGGCTCCGGAAACATTTAGGAGCACTTGCCAAGGGGGTTTCTTGGAAAATGGAACCATCTCATAACCATTATGCAATTTTTAAATGGTAGCGGGAGATGCAGTAGCTTTGGACCTGGGAGACTTGGGTTTTTATCTTCAATGTGCTTCATTGCAGGAGTATGACCTTCCATCTCTGAGCCTCCTTCCGTTCATCCAGAGAATAATTGCACCGCCTACCACTCCAGGCTGCGTTGAAGATCAAAGGAGCGAATGCTTTGGGAACGAGGACCAGCTTTTCCAATGTAAAGTGTCAGCATTGATAGATCCTAGCTGAGGGGGGAAAGCCAAAAGGGAGATGATAGTAATAGTGATTTGTGGCTTTGTAGATTTCTTAAGTACAAGGAAGCACTGAGTTAGATTTTTCCTGTTTATAAAAGATTTAACCAGTCCTTTGGGAGGGTCAGTTCTTTCAGTGCACGTGGGAGACAGCGGGTGAAAGAAAACTGATTTCCTTAGCTGTGTCCCAGGGAACAGTGAAAGTGATGCACTTCCAGAGGTTTTCGGCTTCTACCCGGCTTCTACCTTGGAGTTGTTTGTTGAGTATTTGTTCTCACATACATTTTTCTTCTTTTTTAAATGAAATTTCTCAGAGAAGATCAAGGTAAATATTCACATCCCCCAATTAGTTCCACATATAATGTATGTAGTTTTATGCATATTATCTCAATTTGAAATGCTTTCTATTCATCACTGTGGTCATATTTTGAAGATGACATCAAAGCTTGGTTGTTGACACAAATGTTCCAAATGTATTATTTTCCTATTCTTTGAGGAGCTCACTTGTGTCTGGAGTGACCATTCTTTGAACTTGACTATATTTTTGCCTGCTGTAACATTGCCTCCTGCCCTGTACCTTGTGGCAAGTAATTGCTGATTTCTGTGGTGTGGTGACATGGCAATCCTGGTTCTAGTCCCACCCTGAGCCTTCACTTGCAGTCCTGCGTAACCCAGGTGGTCTTTCTGGGCATGAAGAGTTCATTTCCCATGGTCACTGCTGGCCAAGACCCAGCATTATGAACTGTGGGCACCTTGGAGTTGGATGTCCTGAAGCTTCCTCATTTGGGAAGCTTCCTCATTGTGGTTACTTTGGTTTTGAATATTCTAATTTTATTCATTTCAGTGTTTCTTTCATTTCTAATTTCTATGGAGGCAAAGATAGTTTTAAGCCTGCCTTTATCAGGTGGTCTCATGATTTTAAAGAATCTCCACACATTAAAATTCCATTTGTATGTAATATCATTTTAATAGAAATGCTCATTTTATAGAGAGAAAATGACTGATAAAAATTTGAATGGTTCTTAGGAGCCTCTTATGCCCCTTTTATTGCCTTTTGATGAGGCTTAATTCATTAATAAAGGAGGATGAGTTGGAACTGTGGCATGTTTTGTCTCCTATTATTATTCAACAAGAGGGAATATTTTTTCAATGAAAATTTTGGATCCAATTTCTAATTTTCCTTCTCTGAAAAATACATTTAAAAAATGGAATGACCATGGGCTCAATTCAAAATTGAAAATTTATAACTACTCTTTCAATTCATTTACTCTCACGACAGTTCCCGGGAGGTAAGATCTATTATTATTATTCCTATTTTGCAGATGGGGTGAGTGACATTCGGAGAAACAATGTGGGTTGACTTTGATCACAACCCAGCAACTTCATCTCTGGGAACTCGACTAAAAATCAGTTGTGCTAAATTTTAAACTCAATCGCTAAACGTCTTCCATTTTGCTATTCTATTTTTCTTCTTTTCCATAAATATTTTCAGAAAATTCAATATACCCTAGACACTTGAAAGGAGATTTGGGGATTAAAAAAATGTCCCTTTCCTCGAAATGTTCACAATGTAAAGGAGAAGACCAATGTGTATACAATACATTCTTACACGATACGATTAGAGTTATGCTAGTGGTATGAACAGAGCATTGTGTGATAAAGGCTGCTGGGATTGGAGAAGGAGAAGTGAATGGATGAAAGTTTTAAAGAATAAGTGACTTTTATTTTTCTTTCTCTCAATCCCTCCGCCCCGCAGCCCTGCCCCCTGGCGGCTGGCAGCCTGCTCTCCGTCTTTGACTGTCCCTGTTTTGAGCGGAGGCTCTGCAGGCCGAGTAGAGAAGAAGGAGAAGGGTGTAGAGAAGAGTGAGAGCAGGTTAAGGAAGGTGGGGGTGGTCAGGGTGCGGTGTCATGCCAAGTATCACTGAAAAGCGGGGTGGTCTGGGGTAGGGCTACTCAAGAGATGGGCAGGAAATTCGGCAGGACTGGGCCTTGGAGTCTCAGTGCATCCCGAGTGGTCTGGCCTGTTCTGCAGAAAGGGGGAGCTGCTGGTGTTGTGAAGCTGTGTAGTGACCGGCAGTTGTGGTTCCGAAAGATTGCTCTGGTCACAATGTGGCTGACGGATTCGAGGGAGGAGAAAATGGGACAATGAGTCCCATCAGGAATAATTACCACTCATGGAAGATGATGTGACACCTGAGCTAAGGCAGTGACCCTGGGAATCGAGAGTGGGGTGGACAAATTTCAGATTTTGACACACACACACACACACACACACACACACTAGTTATAAAGTATAAAGGTGAAGGCAAGTTTCTATTTTACAAAGATCTAGAATTCTGGCAAAACATTAACATATTTAATTTAAAATTGTGATTATTTGAAACAGAGCTCATTAAATACCTCCAATAATTGGGTTTTCCTTGCTAAACGTTTATGAGGACTGCAAATGGCAAGAAAAGATGACAGTGATTTTCTTTTCAAAGAAGCCACTCTGACTTTTTGTTCCCATCAGTTCAGTTTCTTACAACTTCCGTGTCACATGACTGCCTCCTCTTCCTTCTGAATGGCCTTCTGGTCCTCCTGCAACACACGCACCTGCCAGGGGCCCTCCTTCCTGCGCCACGCAGGGGTCTGCTGTTCTCCACTGCGCAGCCTGTCCTCAGCCCTGCCCCTCGGCGATCACGCTGCCTTTTCAGGGCAGGGCTTGTCTTTTACTCTGTTCTCTCTCAGGGAGGGCACCGAGATTCTCTTGTCTCTGCTTTGTGTCACACACTGTCTAGACAGTCAACACACACGATCAACTTAAGGCTCTCATTACTCATTTGAAGACTATTATTATTGTTTCACAGATTAGGGGACTGAGACCCAGATTACATAATGAAAATGCCAATGCTTTTTATATTATTTCACATTCCTGTCCTGCTGTCTTGTTTACATCCTCGCACGTAGATGGGTGCTCTCAGTAGACGTTTAATGAGCAACATATGGAGGTGGGTCTTCTCCGCAGCAGGTAGCTCTCCGTCATGCTTGCTGGTGGCTGGGGAGTCCCTTGTCCCCGGAGTACAGGAGCAGCACTGTGTTTCAGCTTTATTCTGAGTTAAATGCAGTACTGTGGATTAGTATAGGACTTCCACTTACGTTTTCATGAGATAACGTGACCCAAGGGACTCAGTGGTTATACATGTAGGCAGGATGTCCTTGCTGTCTCCTGGGGTGAGTGTACATGTCTCACATTTACAGTGAGATGGCAAATCTCAGTGCTCCCTGGGTGTCTGTTTTCCTGTGCGCAGGACGTGTCATCTTTTCCAGATTCCTTTTCTCCAAGATTCCCAGGAGCCCCTGTTGTGCGAGGTGGGTCTCTTTGTGGTCACCATCTGTTATGAGGCAAATTCTGCAGCTCTAGGGGTTAGAAAAGCTTTACTAGGAGACCTACAGCAAAGTTCAGCAAGGTGTGGTGGACAGGATGTCCCCAGAAAGGTGTGCTGAGCGCAGGACTTGGTGCTGGACACAGTGGGAGGTGTTCCGGGAGCAGCGCCTGCCTCCTGCATGATCACTCACTTTACAGGGCCGGCAGGAGAGCAGACTCACCACGGGGTCCCACCCGCCTCGGGGGCTAGAGCAGCCAGCTGACTGGAGAGCCAACTGCCGGCCTCTGGGGACTGGGGGACTTTGGGGTCCTTGGTAGCTTATGGCCACGGTAGGAGGCCAAGCTCCTGTGAGCCCCGCCGGCCAGGAGGAAGGGAGAGCTCCCAGCACCAGCTGACTTTTTCCCAGGCCAGTGCTGGGCAACAGAAATACGGCGCAAGCCACATGAACAGTTGTGAGTGTTTTAGTAACTACAGTAAAATAGTAACAAGAAACGGGTGAAATGAATTTTTAATAATATATTTTCTTTGAATGACTATGTCTGAAATATTATCATTTCAACACGTAATCCATTTAAGAGTTTTTATTGAACTATTTCACATTTTTTTTAAGTACTGTCTTTAAAATCAGGTGTCTATCTTATACTTAGACAATCTCTCAATTCGAGCACTAAGTTTTCTTTGGAAATAATTGATCTATACTTAAATTTTATAAAATTTACAGTTAAAAAGTAGACTTTGATATCCGAGTTTTCCAAATATATTTCAGTTTTCCAGCGACTGAATTGAATATCAGTTTTAAAATTTAATTTTCAAAAGTTAAGTTAAAAAATTTAAAGTTTAAATTAAATTTAGGTCTTTGGTTGCACTTAGGCGTATTTCAGGGGCTCGATAGTCCTATGTGACTAGTGGTTACTGTATTGGACTCAGAGTGAATTCCTGGGGTCAGTTTTGAGCAATCCCAAGAATGTATAATGCTAATGTTACCTGAGACCCACAAGGTCTTAAAAATAGTAATACAAGGATAAAACAGAGAGGCAGAATATCAAGTCCCAACTTTGGATTTGAACTCCAGCTTTGCTACTTTCTAGTTATGTGGAAGTTACTTTACCCCCTGGGTCTCATCTGTGAAAGGAGGTATATTTCCCCTCTCAGCTTTGTAGTGAGTACCAAATAGCACAATGCCTAGCTATAGTGAGTTGTCAATAAAGGTGAGGTGTTATTGCTACAGAGTTTACAAATCATTTTATATTTCATTATCTTATTTTCTCCTTACTGGAATCTCATTAGGCAGGGGAAGAAGTATTATCTCATTTTACAAAAAAGCTAGGACTTAAACTCAGGTCTTCAAAATCCAAGCCCACTTTGCTTTCCATATTATGCTTACCGTCATCATCAGCTAACTTGACTTGAGCAGTACCTGTGGGAGGTATTGTTCTGAGGGTTTTACATTTAATAGCTGTACTACACCAATTTTCCCCCTCTGATTTAAGGAAGCAGGGCCTGACACAGCTACTCATGACTGCAAGCTTGTCATGCAAGGCTCAGACAAAAGGCTGACTTGCAATAGGTGACAGGGATTCAGTATTGCCCTGGCTGGTTTGGCTCAGTGGTTGGAGTGTCAGCCTGCGGACCAGAGAGTCCTGGGTTCAGTTCCTGCTAGGGGCACGTACCAAAAAAACAACAACAAAAAAAACACGTAGAGGGATTCAGCCTTCCCATTTCTCACTAAATATTTTCCTTTCTACTTGCCAAACATTTATTTAGAAAGAAAGTTAAGCCCTGGCCGGTTTGGCTCAGCGGTTAGAGCGTTGGCCTGCGGTCTGGAGAGACCCGGGTTCGGTTCCCGCTAAGGGCACGTACTTTGGTTGCAGTTTGTCCCCGGCCCTGGTTGGTCGTGCGGGTGGCAGCCACTCGATGTGTACCTTCACGTCGATGTTTCTCTCTCTCTCTCCCTCCCACTCTATCTGTACAAAAAAAAAAAAAAAAAAAAGGGAAAAATACCCTCGGTTGAGGATAAAAAAAAAAAAGAAAGTTAAAGTTTTTATTATTAATGCATATTAGTTCCACACATTGCCTTGGATTGACAGAAAATCACAACCAAAAAGCATATCCAAAACTTAGTTTTCAAGTTCCTGTACCATTCATTAAAGAAGTTTTGTGGAGAGTGATTTTGTGTTCTAACTATCATACAGACCAAGTGCTTCTGGCTTATTTTCATTAAGGCACAAGCAGAATATATTTACATTGATAACTTCTGGGATGCCCTTTGGGTCTGTTTTCTGATTTTTCCTGTCTCTGATGGCTTGTCAAAAACAGGAGCCTGCCCCCAGGTGTCATTACATTCTATCTTGACAATCTGCTACTTGTCAAGACTGTACAATAGTCCTTTGTATCCCTGTCCCAGGAGCCCAGGGAGCTGCTGAGTACATCAGACAACTTGTGAAATATCTGATTGAACTTGGACTCCATCACACTTCCTCAGTGAATCAAACCCCTGTAAATCAAAGCTGTGCTCTGCCAGTGGTCTCTCAACTTTCAATACGTTTGATTTAAGGGACTTTGGTCTGTGATCATCTCATATTTTATGAGATGATATCCTGCGTGTACAGGGAAGGAATGAAACAAAACAATCAGAGGAGAAAGGAGGAACAAAAGCAAGGGAGATAGAAACAACACATATATGGTGTATCATGTTGATAAAGGCAAGAAAAACGTCATAATTGGTGTTCTGTGTAATAGTTGCGTAAGTGACCTTTGGACTGCATGTCCCCAGGGATGTTTGGTGGAGGTGGTCATAAAAATTTTATGCCACAAATAATTCAAATAATTCTGTAAGTAAATATTTCTACTGGCCTCTGTTTATGCCACATAAATGATCTGTGATGCAAATATATATATGTAAATAGGCAAAGAAAAGCTCATATGAATGGGTATTTCTCTATAGTGTGATACTAAATAAGAATATTTTTAAGTTTTTTTTTTTCTAATTATCAAGGAACATATCCTTATGGCATAATATTAAGGAAAATATAATAAAATCACCCATAACTGTCTCCACTAAAGATAACCCATTCTTAATATCTTATTGTATTCCCTTCTAGTCTTTTATTTGCATATATTTTATAACCTAGTTATAATTGTGCTGCATATCATTTTATATCTTTGTTCTTTTAACATCATAAAATTTTTATATGTTATTAGGTTAAGCATTGGTTCCATTGTCAGAAATCATTCAGTCTACCTATGTTGGGAAATTTTAGTTGAGTTCGTTTTATCTTTCTATTTAAAATAACCCTCTGCTGCCCGGCCAGTGTGACTCAGTGGTTTAGCATCGACCCATGCACCAAGAGGTCACCGGTTCGATTCCCAGTCAGGGCACATGCCCAGGTTGTGGGTCAAATCCTCAGTGAGGGGCATGCAGGAGGTGGCCAATCAATATTCTTTCTCATCGATGTTTTCATTCTCTCTCTCTCTCCCTTCCTCTCTCTCTAAAATCAATAAAGAAAAAAATAAAATAAAATAACCCGGTGCTGAATACCTTTTAACTTTTCTATTTTAGTATGCATTTGGTTATTTCTTTAGCATAGTTTCCCCATAGTGAAATGATTGGGACAAAATGTATAAACACCATTAGGGCTTTCAATGCACACTGACAGATTTCATTCTAAACGGGTTTATTTATTTATCTTTCTAATTTTCTATTCAATCAGATGCATAGAGAAGTGCCTGGAAAGACAGACTTCTTACACAAACATGCCGGCATGTAAATACCAGCGTACACGTGGTTCTCTTCAGAGGAGTCACCTTGGGATCTGTGTTAATTTTGATGCAGTTGCCTTTGTTTGTGCCATCACTTCAGAGAAACACATGATCCTGGACACAGAATAGCATCGATTCAGTTGAGCATTTACTCTATTCACCCACCGATTTGAGTTCTGAGTCATTTCTGGCCATTTTTAATAATTACATCATCTGATCTCAAAGAATAAAGATCTGCCACCTTTGCAGAAATACAAAAGTATGAGTTTGCAGCTCTGAGGCCATATCTTGCTTCTGCTACTTGCTGTTCCTTCTTCAAGGACCCTGCCCTGCTGACTGCTACTGTGACCATCAAAGCGATGCCATAGAAAGCCAGCTTGAGGAGGAGGAAGAGGAAAGGGGGAGGGGGAGGGGGAGAGAAGGGGGAAGGGGAGGAGGAGAAGGGGCCAGCGTGGTGTGTGCCATCTATAGCCACTTCCCCCAGCAGTTTCTAAGTTGTTGTCGTTAGTTGGCTAATTTGATGGAGAGAACAAATTTAGACCTGGATTAGCATAGTACTCATGATAAGGTAATTTAATTAAAAGAAACAATTTGGTTTTTCTGTGGAGTGTGTTATAATGGATTTGATGAGAGAGCGTGCGAGAGAGCGCGCCCTACAAGGGACAGAGAGAAAGCAATGAGGCAAAATGTATAATCAGGGAAATCGATGTGAAGGGTATATCTGTTATATTGTGGTATTGTTGCCACTTTTCCGTAGGTTGGAAAAGTTTGGAACTGAAGAGCTGAGAAAAACAAACATCTGTTGGGGAGGAAAAAATATTTTTCTTCTACCCTTATAGGTATGTGTCTGAGATACCCCTGTAATAATAAGAAGAGATTAACAGGAGAAAAACAAATTCAATTATCTATGTACTTATGGGAGTCCCACAAAGATATGAGACTCAAAGAAGTGACCAGAACAGCCCAGCTGGTGTGGCTCAGTGGATGAGCATTGACTCATGCTCCAAGAGGTTGCCAGTTTGATTCTTGGTCTGGGCACATGCCCAGGTTGTGGGCCCAATCCCCAGTGGGGGGCATGCAGGAGGCAACCAATCGATGTTCTCTGTTTTTTAAAAAATTATTTTTATTAATTTGTTTTTGTTATAGATGTTTCTTCTTTTTCCCCCATTGACACCTTCCTCCCCATCCCCCCCACCCTATCCCCAGCTTTGTTGTCTATGTCCATGGTTATGCATACGTGCATATAAGTTCTGTTGTTTATCTCTTCTCCCCCAACACCCCCTCTTCTGAGGTTTGTCAGTCTGTAGCTTACCTCTATGTCTCTGGGTCAATTTTGTTCATCAGTTTGTTTAGTTCACTATATTCCACAAATAAGTGAGATCATGTGATATTTGTCTTTCTCTACTTGGCTTGTTTTACTTAGCATAATGCTCTCCAGGTCCCTCCAAGCAATCTCAGAGGATAAGAGATCTTTCTTTCTTACAGCTGTATAGTGTTTTGTTGTGTATATGTACCACAGCTTTTTTATCCACTCATCTACTGATGGACACTTGGGCTGTTTCCAGATCTTAGCTATTGTAAATAGTGCTGCTATGAACATGGGGGTACATATATTCTTTCTGATTGGTGTTTCAGGCTTCTTAAGGTATATTCCTAGGAGTGGGGTCACTGGGTCAAATGACAGTTCAATTTTTAACTTTTGGAGATAACACCGTAGTGTTTTCCATAGTGGCTGCACCAGTCTGCATTCCCACCAGCAGTGCACTAGAGTCCCCTTTTCTCCACACTCTCGCCAACACTTGTGGTTTAATGATTTGTTGATGGCGGCCATTCCAACAGGTGTGAAGTGATACCTCATTGTTGTTTTAATTTGCATCTCTCCAATGATTAGGGATGTTGAGCATTTCTTCAAATGTCTCTTGGCCATTTGTATGTCCTGTTTGGTGCGGTGTCTATTTAGGTCCTCTGCCCATTTTTGTTGTTGTTGTTGTTCTGATAGAGTGGGAGGGAGAGAGAGAGAGAAAGAGAAACATCGATGTGAAAGGGACATATCAAGAGGCTGCCACCCGCATGACCAACTAGGGCTGGGGACAAACTGCAACCAGGGTACGTGCCCTCAGCGGGAACCAAACCCAGGTCTCTCTGGACCGCAGCCTGACGCTCCAACCGCTGAGCCAAACTGGCCAGGGCCTCTGCCCATTTTTAAATTGGGTTCTTTGTCTTCCTTTTGTTGAGTTATATGAGTACTCTATATATTTTGGAAATTAAGCCCTTATCTGATGCATCTTTGGCAATTATGCTCTCCCACGCAGTGGGTTCCCTTACCATTTTGATGATTGTTTCTTTTGCTGTGCAGAAGCTTTTTAGTTTGATGTAGCAATCGATGTTCTCTCATTGATGTCTCTATCTCTGTCCCTTTCCCTTTCTCTCTCTCTAAAATAAATAAAGAAAAATTATTAAAGCAAACAAACCAACCAACAAACAAATGACCAGAACAGGAAGCTATTATACCTTTTAGACAGAGAAACAATAAATTTGTGCAGAATTGACAAAGACAGAGGGGCTTGGGGTAAGAGTAGTAAATTGTGAAGAATTAAGAAGGTTTGTTTATACAACCTTCTTAGCCCTAGAGTGTATCTCCCATGTGGGAGATTTATTTCCTGTTTTAAGAAGAATGAAGAAAGGTCAGAGTGTCCTTCTTGCCTAGGCTGTTTCTCAGGTAACTTTAATTCAAAATAATTAATATGCCAAAGTGGCATACTTTAGGGTGATATATTCGGAACCCCTACACATGCAAACAAACAAACACCAAGATGCCCTGAAGAATGAGCAGAGAATGGCAGAATGGTCCAGTGCCTGGCGTTAAAGCAGACACGACCAGAACACACGAGTTTCACGTGGTCCTGGCGGCCTCCTTTGGGATTCCTTCTTTGGGGGCGGGGCTTCTGAACTTGAACTGTTTCTTACAGAAGAATGCCCAGCGGCGGTCCCTCAATAGACATTTTATAGACAGAATTTATCTCCCTAATGTAGACCAGTTGGGGAGAATCTGTTTAGCTGTTTGGAAAGACAAGTTGGCCCTGGCATTAGAGATCAGCAGAGGTCTGTGCCCCATCCCGATGCATCTGCCAACCGTGGAAGGACTCGGGAGGTAGTGGAAGACCGGGGACACTGCGATTACAGAAGCATTAGGACATGGGCTAGCTGCACAACGAATAATGTTTCAATCGATCTGATCATTAAGTATATGTCACTTCTCCTTTTCAGCCAATATACCTTTCTTTTTTAAAAAAATTTATTTTATTTTTCAGAGAGAGAGGAAGGGAGAGGGAGAGAGAGAGAGAGGGAGAGAAACATCGATGAGAGAACATCAATTGGCCGCTTCCTGCATGCCCCCCACTGGGGATCAGACCCACAACCTGGGCATGTGCCCTGACTGGGAATCGAACTGGTGACCTCTTGTTGCATGGGTCAATGCTCAACCACTGAGCCACACCAGCCAGGCCAGCCAGTATGCCTTTTTTTTTTTTTAATTTTGTTTTGCATCATGTTTTAAAAAGATTGTAGAATAAAATACCACATATCTTCAAGAAAATAACAGAAAAAAAGCTGGTATCCTATTATTAACAAACTTTAATTTTGTGTGTGCATAAACCTTTGCAGAAATGATATTTGGAGATATTCATCTGGACCAAAACCTAAAGTGAATGAATCATCAGTCTCTAAGGTTAATTTTAAGCTGACTGAAAAATATTTTCCAATATGGTAAAGAAGCAATTCTCAAACTTTAATGTGCATATAAATCACCCGGGGATCTCATTAAAAATACAGATTCTGATTCAGTAGATCTGGGGAGAGGCTTAAAATTCTGCGTTTCTTACCATTTCCCAAGTGATGCCCATGTTGCTTGTCCATGGGTCATATTTCAGATAAGCAGAGGACAGACCAAGTCTTGGCGTCAAGCAAGCTCTCAACCTTCTTTCCACAGTTGCAAAATGGGGACAATGCATACATGATGAAACTCTTGTGAAGCTGAAATAAAATAACCATTCTGAAAGTACTTTGTAAACTTTCCTTTCCCGAGTATTGATTTTTTTCCCTAATACCATATTGCTTTGTAAATCTTTCTTTGCAGACAACTTAAAAACAAACAGAGGACCAGGTGCGATAAATTTTGCGGCATTATTGCTTCTTAAGGAACTTGACACTAGTGTGGAAACCACGAGCAAAATTCATTCTTATGGACATTTCTGTTACACCTATCAAGATTCCTAAAGATTTGATACCTTTTGGAAGAACTATGAATGTTGATTATTTCTTTCTAAAAAATGTTGGAGAGTTTTGAATTCCCATTTTATATCTTTCTTCCCAAGACCAACAAGAACAGCCCTCCTTTCTCTACCCAAGCCCCGGCCAAAATCACCAATGGATATTTAGTATTGGATTTGGGGAAACTGATCAAAGAGTGAAGGCAAAATCTAAAAGTTGTAATTGTATCCTTTCCAAATATAATCTTTAGATACTTTGGAATGAGAGAAACTTAATTTTCAAAGAACAAAGGTAAAGTGATAGAACATCTATCGTATACCCACAGACCTTTCAGAAAATAGCAGAAGAAACAAACAGGCAGCGATAAGAGTCCAACCCAATTAAGAAAAATAAAACATAAAAAAAACTGTTACCGAACACAGAAATCCTTTTGGAAAATAAAATGTTAACACTAAAGTTAAAATTCAAAGCTCAAGCTGCATTTCTTAGAGATATTATAAGGATTTTAAAAATAATAATAATGGGAAATTTCTGAACAATGATCAGAAGTGATAACAGCATCAGTGGTCAGATGGCAGGCTTAGCCATTTACCTTACACTCCCACATTTGGCTAGATTCAAGTGTCCATAGAAATAAATTATTTTACAGTATGCTCTCATACATACTGGCCATGCTGGTGTGAGTTTAGAAATAAAAAGGAGTTTTTAAAAACTCTACTGCCTTTAACTGACTACCAGGGTATTAATAACTAAGCTGAGGGAAGCTGGTGGCGGTGATGGTGTTCTCCAGATGGGACTGGATAGAAAAGAGGGGACTATTGGATAAAGGTAAGATTAAGCAAATTGTCCCCAGGGGAACCAAGATCTTATTTTATTTCAGTATTTAAAAATATTTACATCTTGAATAATTATGATTATACAAATCAAACATACAGTGACAAAATTATCGATTCTTTTGCAGTCTCATTGTATAAAGAATCATTCCACACCAAGTATTTTATTCTCTGTTTTACTTTTCATGTTGTTTATTACCAATATACTCTGAGATCCTGCTCATTATTATTATTATTATATTTTCCTTTATTGATTTTTAGAGAGAGAGGAAGGGAGAGGGAGAGAGATAGAAACATTGATGAGAGAGACCATCGACTGGCTGCCTCCTGCATGCCCCCCACTGGGGCTTTGGCCCACAACCTGGGCATGTGTCCTGACCAGGAATTGAACCGGTGACATCTCGGTGCATGGGTCAGTGCTCAACCACTGAGCCACACATGCCAGACCCTGTTCATTATTTTTCTACTACTTTTAAAAATTATGTTTTCTTATTTATTTTCCTCTGTATCTGACTTCTTCCTTCTTGTTCTATCTTCAAACCCTCTTTTGGTGTCAGCTGAGGTCTTGAGAAATGGCTATTGGCTAACCACTTTGTCAAGTACATGCATTGTGTTGAGTCGTCTAAGAGGAGGGGATATAAAGAACCCAGAGAACAGACTCAAGTCTTTAATGAGATAATTTAACAGATAGCATCAGCCATACCACATAAGACTATCTCTATAAGGATCGAGAAAGCCTAATATCAGTTGAATGATTTTAAAAATGTGCATTTATATTGTCTGTCCATATCTCTATGTGGTGAGTGGATAACTCTTGATAACTGCATGAGTGTGCACATACACGACAAGCATACTTGGGTAGTCCTGGTACACCTTAGTCAATTTTGAAAGAATAAGGCAAGTGAGAGGCAGAAATGGTTATTTTATAAACTAACTAAATAAGAGGAAGTTGAACAAGAGTCAGGTCAAATGTGCGGAGAATATTTATTGCTGCCAGTCGAGATTAATGAAGTATAGACTGCCTTCACTAAAGATGAGCCAGGGGAAGTGCCACCTCATTCCCCTGGCAACAGCCTCAGCCAGGAGCTGTCACACAGTCAGGCTGCTGGGATGCCCCCGTCGCTTTCTCCGCGACGTCTCGAGGTCGAGCCGCTCTCCGGTGACTAGCTTTGCTGCACAGTTTGAAGCCGCTTCATTTTTGTTTTTTGCCTTCGAGCATTTCTCAGTTTTTTGGTTTTTAAGAAATTATCCTCTAATTGGTAGAGAAAGTCTTCAACTCGTCCAACCTAGGAGACATAGATATAACAAGATTTGTTGTTGTTTTCCAAGGTTTTGCATATGTAGGAAAGTAGCGATGTATTTAAAATGAAATGGCACATGCAGGTTCATGTGGGAGCAGAACCGGTAGAGACAGAAACGGTTGAACACAAGGGCTCCTTGTGATCCCGCTGCGGGTCTCCCTGTTTCAGGAGCAGGAAACAGGCATGAGGGAGTTTGCGTCACCACTCAGTCCTGCCTACCGGGTGATGAGAATCACTCGCTGTCTTAGTGGTCGGTGAAACCAGGGATTTCAAAAAGAAGTAAGTGGTAAAAAATTGATCTATTATCAAAAGGAATGGAAGAAACAAATCCACTTCCCTCAAGTCAGAGATCTTCGCATTTGTCTGCCCCTGGCCACCTTGGGAGAAAAGTGAATATTCCACACTGTCTTAGTAAGAACTATTTATTTTAAATCAAAAGGAAAATTTGAAAAAATGCATTTAAAAACATGCCACACCCTAGGGAGTAAAATTAAATAATGAATTCAAATCAATAATTCTTTTTAAATTTTTATTCCTTACCCGAGGATATTTTTCTATTTATCACCAGTTAGAGTGGGAGGGAAGGAGAGGGAATGAGAGAGAAAGAAACATTGATGTGAGAGAGACACAGCAACAGGTTGCCTCCCTTATGACCCAACCAGGGCTGGGAGGAACCGCAACCGAGGTACGTGCCCTTGACCGGAATCAAACCTGCAATCCATTGGTCCGTGGGCCGACACTCTAACTGCTGAGCCAAAGCAGCCAGGGCCAATTCAGTGATTCTTAAAAATAAAGTATGAATGTTTCTCCAAAGAAAACATCTAATTATTCAATGACAGTTGAATGTATTATATGATTTGTCAGAAGGAACTATAGAATAAAACAATTTACGTATATTCTGAGTTGGGCCCTCATGAAAGTCTGTAGATATAACAAATTTACACTTAACCCTGACTGCCAGGACCTATTTGTTATATTAGCCTAAAGTCATTTCCAGAGGAGCCCATGTCATCAAGTTAGCTCAAGGTGCATGAACATGTCATCTACTTAAGACAAAAAGTGCTTACAACTCAAGTTTCCAATTTCGAGTTCTATTTTTAGATCACTTGATTTATCATTCACTATAATATCTAAAAGATAATTCATATTGTCAAAGAGAATAATGAATGGTAGCACTCATTTATATGTTATTGTTAGGTTTTATATTACCCAGGTGATATAAGCTCTCCATTGGTTTTTCTAAGAACATAAGATAACTTATTAATATGAAAACAATTCTGTTTGAAAACTTAAAATTACTTCAAATAAATTTCTCTAAAGGCACATTATAGTTTATTATGTCTGATTATTGCAGCAATCATCAAAATAATTTGACAGAATATTTTTGGATCTTGTCATGAAGTCAATGCATTATTTTATGTATTCTATATATTTATACTATCCAACTTACACCAAAATTGTAAGTAAAAAAATTAATATGGAGCACAATCAAAACAAACATAATCGGTGGAACTTTACTGTTATTTCAATAGTTAAGTTGATGATGACTCACTTATGTTATCTGCACTGATCATTTATCATTTAAATCAAAGCTCTTTGCAATTAGAATGTTTGCAATGAGCTCAAATACGATTTAAAATTACAATGCCAATGCAACAAAAAAGCTTTCTTCAATGATTCAGAAAATAATTGTTTTCAACTATCCATTAAGTGGCTGCTGTCTTTTTTTTTTTTAATTGTGTTTATTAAGAGCAGGGTTGACTGTGTTGCCTTTCATTCCAGACAGAAAGAAAAACACAAGATGTGTCATTGGAAGAGAGAATATGCCTATTTAAGCTGTGAGGTCAAGGGTGCAAACTGTGTCTCACCTGGCCTGTGTTCACCTCCTACCTGGTTGTCTTCATGCTAACATTTCAACCCACTCGCCAATGATACTGGACCGATGTTTTAAAAATGTAATCCCGATCACATTATTCCTTTGCTTAAAATACTCAAGTAGACTCCCCCACTCTAAACATGGCTCACATGGCTCGGGGTGATCTGGTTCATTTGTGTCACTCCATCTGTCTCAGCCGTGTGGTACATCTCTGTCATCTGAGCACAGCGCACAGCTGTGCTGTGTTCTCTTGGTCTTCCTAATGCTATGCTCTGCTGGAACACCCCCATCCCAACCCTTACACATCCTTTGAATTTCAGGTTCAACATCAGTGCCTCAGGGAAGTCTTTCTGGATAGTCCAGACCAGATTGGGTCCTCAGTAACCTATTTCCACAGCAACCCATTCATCTCTTTGCATATTGTAATTTTTTTTTTTTTTATCCTCACCCGAGGACATTTTTCCATTTTTTGTTCAGGTAGAGTGGGAGGGAGAGAGAGGAAGGGAGAGAGAGAGAGAAACATCGACGTGAAAGGGACACATCGAGTGGCTGCCACCCGCACAACCGACCAGGGCCGGGGACAAACTGCAACCGAGGTACGTGCCCTTAGCGGGAACCGAACCTGGGTCTCTCAGGACCGCAGGCCGACGCTCTAACCGCTGAGCCAAACCGGCCAGGGCACATATTGTAATTTTTAAATTTAATTGTTCATAATGATTTGTATAATATGTCTTGCCATCTGGATTTTAATCTCCGTAAGTCAAGAACTAGGTCCATGTTGTCCACTATCCCCAGCACCAAGGATATAGTAGACCCTCATTTATCCTTCTCTCTGATCATAGAGCTGAAGACATTCAGAAACCAATGTGTTTTTACTCCCTCAAAGTGATGCCTGGTATGAGGTGTATCTGAAGGCTTTCTTTCCTCTTACAAGTTTAATTATCACTACTTTCATACACCGTCACTCTATTACCAATGCTTAGCTTTGAGACTCTCGAGGCAAGGTACTAACAAGGTTTGATCTCCATACTTGAACCAGCCAGAGGTCGAAAGGGCACTGAATAAGAAGTAGGAGTGTTGAGTTCTGCTCTTGGCCTGGCTTGTCACCCTGATCTGGACCCTCACAGAAGTCACTTGGCCTTTCTGAACTTCAGTTTTCACCAGCTTTTGGCGAGGAGAGGGTTAGCTTGGAAATTTTCATCAACACACCAAACCAAAAAACTCCATGATGTGTATTCATTGATCAGTTAGTCTGGTCTTAAGAGGAGCCCTCGCAGTTTTTCAAATCAGAGCTTATTCTCTTAGAGTATACCATTAGCTGAATGACCCAATATGCAGCAAAGTAACTCAATTTTAGCTTCTGTACTTACTGAAGTATCGGAGAGCTGTAACATGTTTTTACTAAAGCTGGTTCTTTATTTTATTATTTTTTTTAAGTCAAGGAAAGAAAAATGCTGGTTGAAGAGAAAATAGATTCATATAACTAAGGCGAACAGATTGCAAGTGATAGAAATTTCTATAAAGCCCTTAGGGAAATAAAACACAAAGAAATATGTAAGCATGTACTGAAGAAAATGAGCCAGTGTTTGGAGCAGAGGCCTTATTAGACTTTCTTTTTGGTACAGAATCTATGTGCTTAACTATATCCAATAGTCTATTTAGTCATTCTGAGTCTAGTTTTCCCATTTGCAAAATGGGCAGATACCACTTTCTGTGTATCGATATGCCCGTGCTGACTTGGCATCACAGAGAGATGGGCCGACCAAATGAGGGGAACTACAGGTCTCAGTAGGAGAGCAGGTTCTCAGTATCAGGTGGTATGTTATATTCCGCATCAGAAGGTAAGGGTTATCAACCAGTCTTACAGGACCTTTCAATCCTGACAAAGTCTGTCAGTCATGATTAACTGTAGATTCCGAAAGCTCAGAACAAAGGCGACTATGAAACTCTAAAAGAGAAGAAAACCTGAGAACAGAGGCAGTATCTAAATTCTAACAGTACAGAAACAATATCAATTAGGAAGAAATGTGGAGGTGACTAAGTAGACCAATATTATAGGAACATTTCTAGAGAGCCCAGATTTCAAAGGACGTCCATTCATCCTTGATGCAAGTATTTACTGACTGTGTACTATGTATTTGGCATTGTCAAGTATCAAGGTGTTTGTTTGTGAAGAACTCCTATTCATGTAGGAGAGGCAGTTAATGACAAATTACAACAATACATAACTGTTTATGTAAGAATTATATACAAAAAGCTCTGTTAGCAAACATGGCAGAACAGTGAGTTCTACCTGCAGGAAGGTGGGGGTGCCCTGGAGGTTACAGCCGCCGGGTCTTTGCTGGGGTAAGAGACACATTCCCGACAGAGGAAAAGCCATCCATACAGCAAAGTTGTGAGCGAATCTATGGTGAAATCTCCAGGCACTACACAATGTACCACTATCATAATCTTTGTGGAGGGTTTAGCCATTTATGAAGAGCTTTGCACAAACATTACGCCATTAAATCTTCACAGAAATCCTGTAAAACAGACTGTTGGTATAGGCATGCTAAAAGGAACTTGAATATTTTCTCTAATAACCTTTTACCGCAAAGTGGGTTTCTATCTTATATACCCAACACAGTCTTATACGTGGGTGGAAACTGTGGGGATGTCCTGGGGTCAGGTGAGTCTCTGCCCCTGAGAGCTCTCTTGTGAAGGAGGATTGCTGTTAGCTTCGTGTGTTCATAGATCCAACTTATTTTCATTTGGTAATTGGAGGCATGGGAGCCAAGGGCGGAAGCAACTTCGACTACTGTGTGAAGGCTGGCCATGACACCAAGAGCGTTGCTGAGCAAGATACTGAATTTCAGGGCCACAGGGGGTTAGAAATGGGGCAAGCTAAGGAAAGACATGTCAAGAAGCTCAACATGAGCAAAGCTGGTGAGAGATGATAACACGAAGGGACCACACAGCCTAATAGAGCTTTGAAAGCGGTGTCATTCCAGTGACAGATGGGAAGGAGAGGCACTGTAGAGATCTGGGTGGCCTTTTCCCTCTTAAAGTCATTTAACATCAAATATGACTGTGATGAGTTGGATCTTATTTTCCCAAAATTCATATGTTG